CCCCCCCAAAAAAAAAAAATTCCCCTGTTGAAGACGGATTTTTTTTCTGTCTCCCTTGCGATTCCGTACAGGTTCGACTCAGTACTCAAAAAATGGCCTGTTGAGTGTGACTGTGAGTGTGACAAACAGCATGAAATTTCATGAATGGGTTTTTATTATTTGACTTTAACTACGCTATAAAACAAGAAGGAATTAGTAGGCAAGACTCCGTTACCCTTTATGGTACAAATGCAGGCATGGATTGGTATTCCAAAATACTTTACTTTACACTTTCGGTTCCACTTTCCACTTTTAGGCAAGCCTAGCCCTAACTCACGCCTCTCAACAATCTAGCAGCAAGAGCCAAAGCGAAAGTGCAGGGGCCAGATGCCAGGCCTTGCCGCCAGGAAAAGCGCCCCGCGAAAATGGAACTCCGTACAGGTTCCTCGTTGAAAGGTGCCCCCTTTTCGTGGAATGACATTTTCGGGTGTTGAGAGTTGTATTAATGTTCTATTGTTTGTTTGTTGTTAAAATAGGTGGATTTGAATTGTAAGGAGTTATAAAACTTTTGGTCCCAAGTTTTGTCTATAACACAGCGCTTTCAAAACAGTTTGGCATATTTTACAGTAAGAATCCCTATTCTCTTTGATACAGAAAGAAATCATTCATCGTTTGGAATTTTTTTAAAACCTAAAACTTGTCGTTCCAGAAAACTTTTTAACGAAAGGAACCAGTATTTCAGACCCTATTCATAGTGTGCCAACGGTCCTAAACTTGTACAGGATCTTTGATGGCGCATTGCCGTCTCTATTCGCGGCACCGCGCGCAGCACACCTAGAAATACATGCAAAATGGCCGCCAACCGTGGTGTGAACTGCGTTTTTTGTTGTTGTTTTTGTTTTTTTCTTAACAAATGATTGGGCAGTGGGCTACTGTATGGGAGGAATATTTGCAACAACAAAAAAGGGGTGAAGGTGGTGGGGCGGACCTGGGAAAGTAAAATAGAGGGAGAAAAAATAAAAGAACGAGATAAAGTTAAAGAAAGAGAGAGAGGGGGAGAAAGGCAGAGAGAGAGGGGGAGAAAGGCAGAGAGAGAGAGAGAGAGAGAGAGGGGGGGGGGGAGAGAAGGGGGGGGGAGAAAGAGAGAACGAGAAATTGGGGGGGGGGCTGTCTGATAAGCAAGATTGTCTAAGAACTGTATGCTTTAATCCCCAAGTTGACTAGTCGGGAAACACAGCCTACCTGTAGTTTAAATATCAAGAAAGGCAGAGTGTTAATGGAGGTTAGGGGGAAGGGTAGGTGGAGTTTTTTTTAAATCCAGTTGCCTTGCCGTATAACAGAAGAAGATCGTCAAACAGAAAGGATAGTATATCTTACTACAAGATCCCGTTGAAAGAATAAGTTATGGTTAAAACATACAACAAAAGATTGAATTTGAGACAATGATTACATGATTCAAGGGGAGTGATTCGACATTACTAGCTTTCATCATCATGTGTTACGGTGAACATAAAGGACTACGATACGTTGTTTTAGATCTAGAAATAGAAAGCATAGGTAAAAGGTCTTAACTTAAGATAGCCAATGCCTTCACACAAGAAGAATATTATAGAGCAATCAGTTAATTATTGAGCCCAGTAATTTTGTTTTTTTCCTCTTTTTTTCAAGAAGTGCAACCCCCCCCCCCCCTCTTTAATTAATGGATTTAACCGTTGAAAAGGTAATATAATTACAGTATCCTTTGTCTTTTAAAATGGGATAAAATTATTTGCCTAGTCTTAATTGTTAGCAGTGGCGGGGCGCCATTGGTTCAAATTGGTTACAAGCGCTCCACCTAACCCTGGCCTTCACCCCCCCCCCCCCCCCCCCTTTCTAATATTGTTCTAAACCATTCGCTCTTCCCGCACAAGAAGAAAGGAGTATGAAACTCCTTTTTGCAGCACCAATTTGGTTCCAGCAAAAAATTTGATCCAAGTTTCCGCTAGCCTATCTACTATACTTGAGTCTACGGTAAATCTAACTCAATGAAGAATGGCTATCGAAACAGTTGTCAGTTGTCTCCCTCTATTGTGTAATTTAAGTCCTGTTAAGGTGAATCTTCAATTTGAGTCTAGATCTAGTTGTTGGTGCCGCACGAAGTAATTACAAATCTTTAAATCTTCTCAGATTGTGAGCATAGTGATAGTTAGTATTGTTTCACTTTAGCAGCTTTTATGCGGTACCATATAGAATTAAACAGCTGTAAATATCGATATATGTAGATTACGGAATTTCCTGCAGATTCTAGCCGCATAAAAGCTTTAGTCGGTGATGATGATGATAGTGATGTTGAGTTGATAGTCTAGTGTTGCTATAAATAATTCATTTATTTGAGAGAGAGAGAGAGAGAGAGAGAGAGAGAGAGAGAGAGAGAGAGAGAGAGAGAGAGAGAGAGAATTAAAATGAATAATTATCTAGATCTAGATTTTGTTGTGCACCCATTGTGCTGTTTGGAAAATAGTGGCGGGCGAATGACCGAAAGGCGACTCAAGATCTTGTTTACTTGCCAGTGAATTGGTGGAGACACACTATCATGCAACTTGATTTATACTATCATATCAGCAGTAGCCTACTTAAGCACCCGTAGCCTTCTTGTTTCAATGGCTTCTTTTTCGGTGCACTGTTTCTTCTTCAATTCGTGATGATGGATTCTGACTTCTGACATTGGGGAACAGGCTCGCTACTCGCTGCGTAAGTCAACTCTTACTGCACTCTTCTGGCACTGGAAGTCGTAACTTATCGCTGATTGCATGGGGTGGGGTGGGGGTGTATTGTTTGGTTTGTGAGTACAAACCATAGACCTATGGTACAAACAGATTTAAAGAGAGTGAAGAAACGCACGCTTGAAAGGGCTCTTTGTTTTATTTTTGTCCCCTAATACACTGTACCCAAGGAACTTAAAACACACAATGGAAAGCAATATAAACTTTAATTAAAATGTTTAATATAATGTATATGTATACATACACACACGCACACAAACACACACACTCTCTCTCACACACACACACACACACACACACACACACACACACACACACACACACACATACACACAAGAGTAAGAATATTTTTTAAAATAAAGTATCTCGGCCTTTCTTCTGTGGTGTTGTTACTGTGTATCCCTTTATGCCCGGGTTGGCCTAGGCAGGTAGCGCCGGAGCCTGCCTCTTACAAAATAAATGTTAATGATCTAAATTGTGTCGCAGGGGGCATAAAAACACTTTCATTCAGATTTTTAAAAAAGGAAAACAACACCTGTGAAAACTTCTGTCCACTGCAGCATCGTATCGGTTCTTACACTTAAACACAACACAGGTGGAAGACATTTTTACTAATTCACAATTGACTTGCCTAATCTCGGAATAATTAAAACCTTCTTTCTTATTTAGATTTCATTGCGTGAGCGTAGCTCAGGTAGACCACACTTCCGCTGCGAGAGAAGGCTCCTATCAGGCTTGCGGTGCCGCCCACAGAGCATCCTCAATTACTGCAAACTCCTTGACTGTACCCAAGGAGCTTAAAGTAGGCTGTGGACACGTTTTCAAACAACTGGCAGCACCCAAGAATTGGCCAGAAGCGGGAGACCACGGGTCACACCCGCACGCCAAGATCGACTGATTACGCGTCGTCATCACCGAGACAACTTCCTGCCTGCAGCCGAAACAGCAAGGGGAACAATTGGAAGCCACGAACGACCGATATCAGGCCAAGCCATGCGGCGACGACGCGCTTTTCCCTTTCGTCAACCCGCAGCCACCTCCCAATCGTCAGCCACCCCCAACCTTTGACACGGGTCAAACTTCCATCTATTTATAGGTAGTTACCGGAACATGTATAGGTGAAGTGATGTGCCGTGATAGTCGCGATATAATAATATTATTTATTGAGATTGTTTTGGTCTCTCTTTACTCATCACCACGAGAATTTCTTGAAGTTTTCCCCTGGACTCTGCCTTTGCTAAAATCTCGAATCTAGATCTAGATCTAGATCTAGAGTTGTAATCTAGTGGCAGGTTGCAGATTTCTGTTGTTATCCAGTACATTCCAGAGATTAAATAAATTGGACTAGACTCTAGATCTAGTAGTAGACTCTTCTTCTTCTACTTCTAAACCTTCGAGATTACAAAGGCCAAGCCTAGGCTTGCAAGGATTCGTTTTGTTAAAAGTGTTGTTTAACACAAAGTCTATGAAGTTAGCAAACCTAACACATTGTTTTCTAACGAAATGATGCTTAAATTGACTTTTATATTGTCAATAAGAGATCAAGTTTAATCACCTAATCATTTAAGTAAGGAAGTGGCTATTGCTATCCTCGCCCGGGGTGAGAATAAAAACCCTACGATTGACCTCTCACCCCGGGTGAGACTTGCCAGCGTTGGCTATTCTCACCCAGTGTGAAACAAGACCTGTTTTTCCTAATTTCGAAATGCTTTCTATCGGTGTGGATGATCAAATTGACAAAGGCAAAGGAAAAAAATGACGTTATAGCACAAAAGTAAGCTAATTTGATCGTCTACAAAGATGCTATGGCTCTTTCACTTTTCGAATCGACCGAACTACGCGGGTCACCATTTCGTTTTGCCCGAAAGTTCTCGCAAGATCTACTCCTCCCCCTTCTCTCTCTCTCTCTCTCTCTCTCTCTCTCTCTCTCTCTCTCTCTCTCTCTCGGCAATTTATTAAATCTGCAACCTGCAATTAGATTACAACTAGATCTAGATTCGAGACTTTAGTAAAGGCAGAGTCCAGGGAAAAACATCAATTAAATTCGTGTGGTGCAGATGAGTAAAGAGAGACCAAAACAATCTCTCTATTGCGACTATCATTGCACATCACTTCGCCTAATACATGTTCCGGTAGATTTAACTACCTATAAATAGATGGAAGTTTGACCCGTGTCAAAGGTTGGGGGTGGCTGACGATTCGGAGGTGGCTGCGGGTTGACGAAAGGGAAAAGCGCGGCGACGACTTCAGACCCGAGGACTCTGGTGCCGTCGTCCTGCGGTCGGCCCAGCCCTCACTGACCGTCTCAGACAACAAAGGTTAGCATGGGCCCAACATCGGCTTCATTGGACATGGAGGCAATGGAGAAACTTTCTCTTCTCTGACGAGAGTCGATTCTGCATCGGCAACGCGAATAGAAGAGACTGAATTGGGAGGAGGAGCGGTGAACGCCACGCAGACACCAACGTGATGGAAGCCGACTCCTTGGGTTGCCCTGGTGTCAAGATCTGGTCGGCCCTGTCGTCTTCCGAAACCTCCGACGCGGGCGTGGCAATGGAATCAACGCCCAACGTTACATCAACATGGTGCTTAAGCCGGCGGTCCTCTCCTGCGTCCAGCAACACCACCACTTGGTGTTCCAGCACGACAACGCGCGCCCGCACACTGCACAGAACAACATTAGAGTTCTCCCATGGCCAGCACTCAGCCCTGACCTTAACCCAATCGAACACATCGGACC